GGGTGGTGTCGGAGCGGCGGCCCGCCCCTGGCGGGCGCTGCTGCCGGCCGGGCCCCCTGGCACCGTCGCCTCCGCTGGTGCAACTCGTGCCTCTGTTTGCGAGTCGGGCGCGCAAAACCCTCCCCGCGCGCCGTTGTTCGTCGCCCCAGCGAAAGAAGTGCACTGCGTCCGTCAAAACCCCGTCCCCTTGGTCGATCCGCCTCTGTTGTTTTGTCGCGCCGCGCACTGCGGGCGAGCGGCGCCCCTCCTCGCCCCATCCCCTTTGACGCACCTGGGCAAGGTGGTCGGGCCTGGCGGCGCCCCACTGACAGAATCACACGCATGCGCCGCCGAAACGGAGACGTGAAACACAGCACCCACCCCATGCGTACCGTATCCAGCCTGCTTACTCAGCAAGCAGCTGCACCACATGCTGCGCCTGTAAGCTTACCAAGCTATCAATCGCTTTGGGTCGTGCCAAGGCATGTGGCAGCTGCCCTGCAGCTGCCTGGAACTGTCAATCAGCATTGCTGATCCAGCATCAGGTTGGGGTGGCGCCATCAGCTTGCTTTGCCAAGCAGTACGCAGGGCTGAGGACCGCAGGGTTTCACAGGAAGTCCGCGCGCCTTGGCCCCGCCAGTATCAGCTGCTGGTCGTGGGCACTCTGCAGTGTGAGAGAGGTACGTCCTGGGGCTTGTGTGAGCCCCCAGACGCTTGCCGACTGTGATTCCGCTCTGCCCAGCAAACCCTTACACCCTGCACAGTCAGAGCTCGGCTTGGTTCAGAGTACAATCCGCTCCGTTACAGGGGGGCCGGCAAGCAGTTGGCTGCCTTGCCGCAGCCCAGCAAGCACATGTAGCGGGCACTGCCTGCATGGTGCTCTGCACCCCTGCACCTTTGTGCTTTTGGAACTGATATGACACTTCACGTGCAATTGTTACTGGGCATCTTGACCCACTTCGCCACAGCGACAGCCGCGCTTGACCGGCCAACACAACTGCCGTGCCGTGTCCACCCATCAACACCCCCCCCCCTACGCTGCAGCTGAGCCTTGTCCCTCGCAACACACCCCGTCTCGAGAACCCGTGCCTGCCACCACTCCACCTCTCTGTAAGCCCATAACCCGTTACACAAAGAATGCATACGGCCGCAGCAGGGCGAGGCACTGCGGTTGGCCGCCGCCTCACGGCGGGGCGCGGCCCTCCCATGATCCATCATCCCTTTTCAATCCCTCCTCACTCCTCGCCTCTCTTGACCTCCAGCCCCAATAGGCAAGTACCACGGCGCGTCAATTGGCGCCAAATAGGGTTTGACCCCAAAGACAAGTTCCTCACGCCGCAATAGAGGGGCGCGAGCTGACCCGCGGGCGGCCCCTGGGGATGGGACCGCCCGCAGGCGGCGGCGTCTCGCCGCCAAAGCCGCGGCGGGGTGCCGGGATGCCCCACGCTTTCGCGTGGCGCCGGTGCTGTGGCTGATGCTGCTGCTGTGCGGCGCGCGGTGCGCACCGTGTGCGCGTTGAAGCGCCAATGTGAGTGCTTAAGCGCCCAGCTGGCTGGTGGAGATGATCAGGGTGGCGCCGATGCCCAGGAGCACCACCACCAGGCCGGCCCTGGGGGGAGAGGGAGAGGAAGGATGGAGGAGCGCGCGTGGGTGAGACAGCAGGCAAACTGGACAAGGGGAGCGCAGCCAGCCGGGTTGCCTTACTCGCACCACCTCACAATAGACCATCTACCGTGTGTGAGCCATGGTTCAGTGCCCCGCAGTCCATGTCTGGGCCGCTGCGGTTTGTGCCCTGCAGCCCCTGTGCCTCTGTGGGTCTGGCGCTCTTGTGTTTCTTCCGCCTGCACCCCCACCCCACACTCTACACCCCCGTAAAAGCCCACGCACCAGGCGATGAGGCCCTTGGTGCCCAGCTTGTAGGAGTCACCGCTCTCGGTCCAGCGGTCGGGGGTGTAGATGGGGCTGTAGCCGTCCACGTTGGCGCCGTACTTGTCAGCGAAGCGGTACACACCGTAGCCCTTGCCCTGGGGGGGGAAGGGCGGTGGGGCGGCGGAGGTGAGGGGGCTCGTGTGGCATGAGCACATGACAGGAACCGCATCAACTGCTTCCGCGTCATGGGGCTGGTCGCTGCCGGTCCAGAAGACAGGTGATAACAGCGCCGCAAGCGATGTGCCATTGATCAAAAGTGGCAAAGTGCACGTTGCTATCGCCTTGGGCTCGACGCCCTGTCCCCACGGCATGGTCACGGGTGTCGCTGCCACATGTGCGCGCATGAATGCGCTCGGGCCGCTCAGCACTGCCCAGCCGTCCCGGGCCTGGTTTCACCCACCTTGCGGCCCTGGGCGTCAACCCAGCCCTTCTTGTCCATGTAGCGGGACTTGCCCATCAGGTTGTTCTGGACGGTCTTGTCACCGATGCTGTTGAGGCCGACCTCCTTGATGTTGGTCTTCTCAATCTTGGCATTGTTGGCCACCACCAGGTTCCTCCGGCCGGCGCTGCGCAGTGCAGGGTGCGCAGAACAGTTCACATACTCTCGTTGGATCTCCAGACAACAGAGCGCGTCCGGGAGCGCTGGAGGCGAGCAGACCGAGGATCTGGCTTTGCTCGTGTCCCTGAACCGCGCGCGCCACCACTGAGCAACAGACCCGCCTGCCGCGCACTTAAGCGCATTATCCACACCCTCTAGCTCCTCCACGCGCAGTTGCGGTGCTGAATGCGCGAGCGCTGGCACCGGACGCGACACCCATGCCCACGTACTGCCTCGTGCCACACCCGAGACGTCGCAACCCAACCATCTAGAAGAAACTTTAAAGATCCCGCTCACCGCACGGGCAGGGCCGAGAGGCCAGCCTTCTGGGAGAGAGCGGCCTGCATCTTTGCAGTGGTGTAAAGAATTCAGAGTGGACAAGAGAATGAAAGAAGATGAGAATGCCTGGCCAGAGTGTGCGTGAGCTCAAAACCCGACAAACGCGCCTCTTGGGATCCCGGCCTGGAGAAGAGCGGGAGGGACGCCTCAGCCGCTTGCCTGCTGGATCATAAGCAGCTAAAACACGCGATAATGACGCGCACACATGCTTGTCAGGCAGCAAGGCCCCGACGTGGTCGCGTGCACTGCGTCCAGTCGCGGTCCGAATGGCAGCGCCACAAGGCCAGTGATCCTGGTGCGAGGGCAGGGTACTGCCCTGGGCGCCCTGGACTCTGCCCGTTCATGCGAGGGCGCCTGCAGCCGATCCTGCAAAAGGCGCCTAGCGTGGCGCCGCCACAACCTTGTGTGACGTCATGCGAGAAGGGGCGGTACTGCTGTCAGGCGCACTGGGGCGCCCTGGCTAGGGCACCCATCTGTCGCTGTGAACCCACGCAATGCCCCAGCATGCGCGCTCCGCGCACCAACCGGGCAGCGGCGGGCACGTGGCAAGGGCCCCGGCGGCCCGACGGCCACGGCAGTCGGTACCGGAAAGCAGCCAGTCGGACGGGTGATCACGTCAAGAACATTACGTGCCAGGTGATGGAGAGCATGCATCATGTAAGATCAACAGCAGCGACGGCCATGAAGGCCCAACCCATTTAAAAGGGAGAATGTCCCCAACACCATCCCACGCCTCACAACGCGGCGAAAGGCGCTGCAGGCGCCTGTGCTGCCCCTGCCGCTGCCTCGGCGCCCGCCTCCCCCACCTCTCCTTCCAACTTGACCGCGGCCGCCGCGCCACTCACTGCTGCCTGCTGCTGCTGCTGCTGCTGCTGCTGTTGCTGCTCCCCACCCGCAGTCTGCTGCAGTGTGGCTTCCGACGCAGCAGTGGCGGCCGGCGCCGCTGCAACCGCCGCCTCCTCGGCCCTCGGCGCTGCGCCGCCGCATTCGCCCAGCAGCCCAG